CCCCCCCCCCCCCCCCCCCCAATTTCACTATCTCTTGTTGTTCTATTACTATTTCTTCTCCACATACTTCTATAGTTTGCACACACACAAAAACAGATATACACCCAACAACAAAAGAATGCTTTAACGTGCCCCTCTGACACCAATCGATCTGTCAAGACATTCATTCATCAAACTGCTACTAAAATAAAGTAATCAGGTATCATAACAATTCCACTTTACTCTTTTACACTGAACACCTTATTGGTGCATCAGACATCCCTTCTTTTCAAACACTAAGACAGCAGACAACAACCACTCACCATCTTCTTCTTGCATCCCAGTGACATTTCCAGATGCATTCATGCGAACAGACGACTGGTTGTAGCGGCCCACTCTGTCAGCCTGCCTGGTGCTCTTGGCATTATTGGTCACGTCAGGGGGTTGAGGTGATATATGGTGGGCTGTGGGTAATCAAGCACATCGTCTAAATGTCTACATTTCCATCAACTCAACAAATACAGTTGGGTTTTTTTAGTACAGAGAAATACATCAACACAATAATGGGCATCAAGTGAAGAGAAATAGCAAAACAAACAAAAATAACAGAGGGAAATATTTAATAAAACAGGAGCTACTTGTGGTAACCTCCAGCTACTGGCAAATGTAGTGGAAGTCTTTCACTATACAAAGACTAAACATACAGTTTCCAAGATTTTGATGATAAAATATGCAGTTATGATCTAATCTCATACGTCTTTCCCTGAACAATTACATGACACCCACACAAAATACAATAAAATATAATTTTTCTTTTTCATAAAATCAACCTCAACTCTTTCCCTGAGCAATTTTTCTTCAAGAAAAACAACAGCGCACACCAAAGTGAGCCTGTTGCTTCCAAAACAATATACAATGGGTAATCTTGTAGATCGCATTACTTTGTAAATTCTTCCATAACTGCAGATCACAATGGAAACACTCACAATGTCTAGCATTTTGCATCACATCCGCCAGGGCGTGTCTAGCTGTGTTGCCCGGGATCACGTAGTTAGAAAACTGTGCACTCCGCGGCCTCTCTCCCGCACCGCCACTGCCCCCTCCCCCGTGGTAAGGAGAGGCTCCCTGGTCGGAGTAAGAGCTGGAGCTGGCCCCAGAGTCCCGGGCGTGGCCACCGCGCTGGAAGTTACGCAGCTGCTCCTCATCAAATATGCTGTCATCATCCGAGGACGAGTCTGAGACATAACAAAAGGTTTCATAATTGTTGTTTTATGTGAGTAGAACCAAGCACATCAACATAATAGTAATCATAAAGTGTATTTGCATTTCTACATTACAAGAACACCGTCCAAGAGTACCACCTGTCTAATAAGGTGACCATGTTTCTCCTCGGCCATGGGTGGTCATTTTGGACAGGTTATACAGTATGAGCTTAAGATAAATTCAGTCAATGCTTGTCAGTAGTTCTCCTACATACATAAAATTGTCAACTGACCTATATATTTGACAAAGTCACAGGTTTCTGCCATACTAACATCCCATTCCCCAGCTTGTCATGGTTGTCGAATCAAAGTTGGAGCTCTTCGCGAGCCAACGCAAAAATGGCCACTCTCCATAGGTATAGATCTAGACAGCATAAAAACCGAGGAAGTAGGAGGAGCAATCTACACCAAAGTACCCTTCAACCTCCTTCCCCGCTTCTCCCGACTTATTTCAAACTGAGACTCACATTCTAGCAAGTGCTCAGTCTAAGCCCCGTCATACATTACCCTTCAAAATGGCATTTGGCAAGGGTCATACACTAAGCAGTCAATATGATTGTGAAAATTGTACAAAATAGTACACAAAAACATCTTTGTAGAAATTTTTTACATTGAAAAGAAAGTACAAAACAAACATCGTTATCAATGGCGGTCAATCATCTGTGGCGTCGGTGGCCTAGTGGTTAGGCTACCGGACTTGTAAGCGTAAGGTTGCGGGTACGGGGGTTCGAGCTGCGGGCCCGACATTGTGTCCATGGGAAAGGTACTTTACACGAGTTTTCCTCACTTCACCCAGTTGGGAATGGGTACCCGGCCATAGACAGGGAAAGATCTTGTCATTATGTTAGTGTTTTAGAGCCTATAAATGACCGCTTGCACTGTATGCTTCCCAGGAAGTTGAGGTTGTTTCAGAATGCTATCAGGTATGCTGACGTAATAGTATAGATTGTGAAGAGAATAGAGCTTGCTGTTGAGCGGGGATTTGCGCTATACAAATGCTATCCATTATCTATTATTATTATTTAACATATAATATCACCTAACACCAGCAAAGACATTCAGGGAAAAACAGTCAGATCCTCACCTTGCCTGTCCCTCCTCTGCTGGCCCTGGTAGTTGACCGATGTGCGCTTGGATGGCAGTGGCATCACGGGAACCTTGCGGTTCTGCATAGCCAGCGCCTGCATCACGGCCTCTGTGCGGATTTCTGTGGTCAAAGAGATGTAATTATTCCAACTAAAATTTCAATATGTCAAAAGCAATTATTTTTTTCTCAGCACCTTTTAAACTTACCAATAAGAAGCTCTATGCCTTCTTTATCTCGTCCCACATCTACAGTGACTATGACTATCCTTTATCTTTCCATCTCCTACCTTTTTAGAATAAGTTTTACGACAGGATAAGAAAGAAAGAGAAACCTCATCAGAGCGCCCGCCAACTATCTACTTTCCTTCCTCCAGAAAACAACGGAAGGTAACGACGACCCTCCTATCACCAGTACAACACAAATGCCATCTGCACACTGCCACATTACAAGGTCTATTTTCTGCTAGAATAGACCTTAAGTCAGAACACCATGGTGAAAGAGAGGTAGAAAAAAAGAACGAAAAAGTACTGGATCCTCAGGCCTTCAAGATGACACTCATGAAAGAGAAGAAATTGAACACCACTTGCAACAGAATAAGGTCATATATAAGTGCTGAAGATTTGAAGTGCTGCTAAAAAGTAAGGTCGTTCTCCCCCCCTCCCCTCC